TATTTCTAATAAAACCAATTCTAGTGACATTGTCAATAGATGTATGCCGAATCTACTTCAAAAGTAAATTTATAACAAGTATTTAGAGACCAGTGACAGAATACTAGGCAATAACAAATAACACAAATATCATAAGTCAACGGTGAAAAAATATAAACACAAAAAATAGCCATTTTGTGCTTAGCCTGATGGACGAATTTTAACTATACTTAAGATAATTGAACTGGTTTCTCATTACATTTCCTCAGTAACAAACGTTTTGATTGTTTGTTTAATTTTGCACAAAACTACTCGAGAGCTACGTGCGTTAGCCGTCCCTAAGTTAGAAGTGATAGACTAAGAGGAAGGTAGCTAATCAACACCACCCACCGTCAACCCTTGTGCTACTCTTTACCAACGAATAATAGGATTAACTGTCACGCTATAATGCTGAAAGAGCGAACATATTCTGTGACAGGATTCGAACCATGCCAGGCCAGCAAATGTTTTGACTATTTTAAACATAGCTTACCTACTAAGATTAGTTACGTCAATTTAAACAATAATGAAAAATATAAACATATAGATTCTAGTTCAACAATATATTTAAACAAAAATCAGTTACATAAGTTTCATCAGTATGGCTCTTACAAGTTTGTTGGTGTAGTTTCAGAATAAAAGGAAACGAAAAGTCAAAGTTTGCTTTTTGTTCAACGAAATCTAATATGAACAATGTATTTCTTACGATACATTTAATTCTAAATATTTATATGTCTGAACTTATGATACCTAAGACTGACATCAAGAGTACACTGAAATAGTAGTAGTTGCGTATTTGGAGGTGTGTATCAGAGAGTAGGACTAGCGTCCTAGTCCGGACACCGTGTGAGCATGTTTGGTGTGACGAGGATTCGAACCACCTGGCCATGCTGGGCACGCACTGAAATAAACAAGAACTGATGATTTAACTTCACAACTAATGTCACTGTAATCCTATGTACAGACATGGCAAAAATAGTATATAGGATAGACACATTTTCTTTTTCAAAATATTGAAACAGAAACAAGATATTCCATGAGTTAAACAAGCGCAACTTACTTTAAAATATTTACATGTTTAATTTAATCACTCAACTCTGAGTTTTAATAATTCTATATGTAGATAAAGGTTATTAGTAGTTACATAGGAACAATATAAAGGTATATATATATATATATATATATATATGTGTGTGTGTATATAAACTGTGATGATAAAGGTAGTACATGTGGGAAAGGACAATGTTAAGAAGAGGATAGTACAGATGTGTTGTCAGCTGCACGCGCGCAATGATATACATAACCTATTGTCCAAATGTCGAGCAGCAATTGCAATATTAACGAAAGTTAAAGGTTTTCTAATTTTACATCTAAAACGTGAGAACCAACAATATATTTTTTTCTCTTTAAATCTATACTATGAAAGTTGAAAGTTGTATATTTATAATAAGCATTGAGGACCAACGTTAACATCTATCTATTTTATACTATTGAAACTATCCCTCGTTCTCAAATTGCCCACCATGGCTCAGCGATAAGGTTGAAGGCTTATAATGCTTAAATTTGGCGTTCGATCCCTGTGATTAACGTAGCCCATTATGCAAGTTTATTCTTAAAACAAATTATTTGTTATTAATTTCATACATTTTTGTGAGTACTATAGGGCTTAAATGGCGAATACACAATTATCACATGAAGTCTAGACTTGGCTCAATCTATCACAATTGTTAATTATCTAATACTAGCGTATAGTCCATCAAAAATGTTGCTAGAAGTACTACCCCACATAGTATACCCTAACCTCGCATTTCATAGCTAACTGAAATAAATAAATTTGCAAAATCAAGC